GAAAATTTGTAGGAGGAGAAAAAAACGTCTGACCCCTCTGAGAAGATTCTGTGTTTTCAGTTCTACCTTGCTGTGTTTGGCAGACGCTGCCAGCGTTTGCAGACTTGGTGAAATGAGGTGTGGGTTTAGTAAGGCATTCAGTTCTTGCCTCTAGACCTGTGATTTTTACGTCAAGTTGATTCAGGTGCTCGATTAGGTTGAAAATAGGGACAACATAAGCTCGAAGATCATGTTGTGCTTGCTGTAACAGTTCTAAATTTTAGTAATTAGTCAGTCTTTTGAATGGAGCTTCTTAAAAACTGCTATTGTGTATGCAGGCTCTCTCCAGCAGTGACTGTTTTTGATGCTCTATTGTTTGGGATGACCCCTGAGCTGAACTCTCTGGAACTCAAATGTCTAATGTTCTTCATCAGGCCATGGTCTATAGATCCATTACAATGGAGCTGGAGCCTGCCTACAGCTTGGGAGCAAACGCAGACCTGTCTGTCACTGGCAGGAGGGGAATGCCACAAGCGCTTCGGTTCTGCTCGTGTCATTCTGCTTTGATAGTGGCAGGCAGGCTTTAAACAGATCCCCTGCCTGCGAGAGAGACTTAGCCAAAGGCAGAGAAACTTGCTTTAACTTAGCTAAAATCTGTTTCAGTGTCTCTGTTCTCTTACCAGGATGTCCATGTTTTTCTTACTTTGTTTTCTCCTCTTATGCACATGATTGTTTTCCCACTTGTAGGCTTTATGGATTTGGGGTGAGAAAGCAGAAGGGTGTAATTTCCATTCCTACCTTCCCTTTGTTAAGGAGCCTTTCCCTCTGTCAGATCATCCCAAGCAGATAGAAAGTTGTATTGGATTGGAAAGCCCCTTTCATGGACTGGAAGGTGCAGACACTTTTTCTGTAGTCCAAGCCCATCTTGGGCTCAGTGTTTGTGAAGACATCTTATTTGCTTGTGTGTCCTGTCCTCATGCCCTTTGTGAAATGCTGAGAAACAAAAAAGTGGGTGAGTTGGCAAGCTCTAGCAGACACAGTGTTGCAGTTAAGTCTTCAGAGACTTAGTAGCAGCCACAGCTCTGACTGTAAAACTTATCTTTCTGCTTCATCTCCAAATGGGCAGGTCAAGAGACCGCCCAAGTCAGTGTCTTTGATGTTACATGTACTGCAGAGTATTCTCTGAAAAGCTTCCTGATATTTTCTCAGTGTAAGAAAGACGACAGAAAACTACACACACTTGAGCTGTGCTGGGCACTGGTCTTTCACAGATTCTCTTTGCAGCCTTTACCTCTTTAGTGAGGGACAGAACTTGCTAAGTGAGACAGAAAGTAATTCTAGATTTCTTAGTACTGGGAGGCACCTGATCACCTGAAATATGCTGGTTCTGGAGGCACGGAAGAGGAAACAAAAAATGTATGTTAGAATTTTATTTAACAAATACTAGAGAAGGAATGGCTAGGGCAGTGAGTTTCTAGAAGGAAGAAGGGTATTTTATCTTAAATATTAAGCTGTTGTTGCTTAACTGGATTTGACTTATATATTTTCCCATTTTTACACAGGATTTTGAATAGCTTATAGAATCATAGTTCAATGTAGCACTTCATTCTCTGTTTCCAACTTCTATATGCTACTACTTTAAGTGCTATGGGCTGCCTTTTTTTATTCCACTTCCTCTGACACAAAATTTTGATGCCGTGTTAATCTGTTAGCCTTTAGCAAACACTTAGGCTATTAAACCCGAACCCAGCAAACATTTAAACAGTAATAGCTAAATTAGCTTGTTACTGGTTTCTTATGTCATTAATAACCCTACTTGTCATGATAGCTTTTGCTGGGATCAGTTAAATTTTACATATTTTTCTCCAGAAGGCAGGATAGCTTATAAAAAACCACAAAGCCTAAGCATTTGCATTCCTTAGGCTGCAAAATTGGAGACTTGTAATTTTGTATCAAGGTATGTTGCACTGCACTGGCAATGTGAACTAAACTGTCATGCTTCTGGTTGATAATTTTCAGGGTCTTTTTTATCTCTTAGAGGAATTAAGTGGATTTCATGCCTGTGAAACAGAGAAACCACACACACACACCTGTGTGAGGATGCACTTTTCCCCTGCCCCAAAGTGCTTTCACAGAACTTGTTCAGGGTTATGTTTTCTCATTGCTTTCCCACTTTAGACCAGGCTGTCAACCCAGGGAGCTGTTAAATACCCCTCATCCTCTGCCCTGTGGTCAGCAGCAGCACACATCCTCTCAGTCAGAAGTCTGCTTGTAGTGCTTGTGGGGTGTGTGAGAACAGCCCTAATGCTGGCTGTGGGTGTAGAAACTGGTACTGACTGGAAATAGCTTTGAAGCTTGAACTCCTCCTTGAAAGCGTTTGGGAAGCAGTTTCCTTTGGTACCTTTCAGCTGTGGGAAAGGCAGGGTTATTTATGGAGCTGAGCTGGTGTGAGGCAGCTGTTGCACGAGTGCTGTGTGTGCAGTGCTTTGCCATCCTTGGCTAAGCAGCTTCCTGTCGGGACCACTGATCCGTGTAACAGCGCTGTCTGTGGCAGAAGTGGTTGGGCTTTGTGCCATCCTGTGTGTCCAAACCTACTTCCAAGTGTGATTTTGAGAAAGCTGCACTTGGAGAGCTTAAACTGAGGGGGAGGTGAGGTGGTGGCACAATTAACTATAATTCATTATTCAATTTTGCTGTCATCATGGGTAAATTTTGCTTTCGCAGTGCAGTTTTACAGGCTTTATTTTTGGGATCATTTTTTGGCCTAGGCATCAGCTGAGGAAGGAGAAGATGTCAGTCCCATAATTGCATCTGTTGTGAGCCTGGCACAGTGGAAAAATTAGGATTACTTGCAACAGGTTTTGCAGATAAAGCTTCTGACAATTTCCTCCAGGGATCCTAAGATGCTGTTACAGTACATGTAGTTAGTGGCTCTTAATGCTCTTGGGGCAGGGAGTTTCATCTTAGGGCCAGTGGAATACTTTTTTACTTGCTAGTAACAGGTTGGGAGGTTGTATGGCATAAAAAAAAAATCAAGATTATTGGAGGGGAAGGGAGACATGGGGAGGGATCATGGAAAGCTCTGTGTATTCAGGGTGTAGAAAAGGGAAGAAAGTAAAAATAATGGGCACATGGAAATTTTCTGTGTAGCAGCAAAGAGCCTGTATGACTTCCATGGATAGGACCTATGCCTTCTAAATTGTTAGACCTTGTTTGGAATGGGGAGAGGGGTGTGTGGTGTCTGTGTATTTATACAATACTGGAGCTATGTATTTGACATACCTTCATTAAAGCAAAAAGGTGTTGAAAAGGTACCTGAAACATAGTTTTTAACTTGGAAGACAAAGGCCTAAAATAGTTGGTCAGTTTTAGTAACAGATGGAGCTGGAAGGTTATTTTTAAGGGTTCTGGGTTGGGATATGTTATGTTGGTGGTATCTCTTGAGCTAAGGGTTGTTCATCAAAGCAAATTACTCAGGGTGGTTAAAACTAAAGCTTATAACTGGGAGCATTGCTAAAGGGAATCTGTTATTTAGACTAAGGCAAGTCACTTTTTATTGATAAAAAGAGTAGAATCTATCTGGTAGGTGAGAATGGGAAATCTAAACCAAGCAAATATCTGTGATTATTTTAAAATCTGTCACAGAAGAAACCTGCTGGCATAGTAGTGATTAAGAAAGATACAGATCATGTGAGAAATCACTAGTAGAGACTTGTGATCTTCTGACAACAGAAGAGCAAACATGTTAATGGTATCTTCAAATTTTGACTAATTGTGTTTTTTCTTTCATTCATCTCAGTGTGTAATTGAATAATACTGGGCGTGTAAACAGTGATGGTAAAAATAAGGAACAGCACCTGTACCTTAAAAGCAGAATGGTTTAACACATCCCTGTTGTACTGGGAGGATCTGGTGGAGGCTCTCCAGGGTGGTTAGGGTGCTGAGGCAAATCCACAGCCTGGAGAGGCTGAGTGCATGTTTTCCTTCAGTTTTGGGAGGAGGAGGGCAGGTTTTTCTATGTTCTGTGATCTGATAGGGAGGTTTAACAATGAAGGAGGCAGAGTCATCTCAGCCCTGCAGCTGCCAAGGATGAGAGACAAGAGACACAAGTTGCAGCACTGGAAATTCTGATGAGATGTTGGGAAACTTCCCCCCTCCCCCAGAACAAGGTTAGTCAGCCATTAAGAAAATTGTTCAGAGGTAGCAGAAATCCCAGCCTTTGAACACACCCATTACCAACACCACTGGACAAGACCACAGGCAAGCTGATCTCACTTGTTCCTGTTTAAGCAAATTTGACCACCTGGTCTTTGAGGTTCTGTCAGAGATGAGTTGTTCGGTAATGCTGTGGCTTTGTGGGAGAGAAAAACTTAAAAGGCCCTCATGGCAATTGAGCAGATTAACAAGATAAAAAAAAGTGTATTTAGTGAGGAAGAATATCCATCTCCATATTTTTGCTTCTACAGGGAAAGAGCATGATCTCTGCAAGCTTTTTCTGATGTGTTTGGTGCTTGTCTCTGTATCTGCCGGGGTACAGAGCAGAAAGGCTGATGGAAGTGACCCCTGCTGGCCGCAGATTTCCTCTGCTGATTCTGGCTTCTCTGGAAACGTTTTGCAAAACCAAAACAAACAGTGGTAGTGTAGACCCTGCATACGAGGGATGCTGTGCTGGGGCCATGTGGGAGTGCCTTAAACCCTGTGTAGAACTGAAGTGCTGTATTCTTTTTTATGACTCTAGTATTGGCAGGGGATGCTGGACTCAATATATTCAGGCTTTTCCCTTCCTCCCTTTTGTTCCCAGTGTGCAGAAGAAGTTACACTGTTGAGTAACATTGGCTGTTTCCTAACTGTACATTTATTAATAAAGCAATGAACCACAATAAATAATAAATTCGTGCAAAGTTTTCTTTCCAACCTATCTAAATATATCTGGAACAAAAGAGCTACAGTTTCGATTTTCTCTGTTAACATGCAACAAATACAAACTTTGATTTAGTTTTGGGTTTTTTTTTGTCTTGCAGCATAAGCAGCACTATCATGGACGTAGACAGCACAATTTCCAGTGGGCGTTCCACGCCAGTGATGATGAATGGACAGGGAGTTCCTGCCTCCTCTGCCAAAAGCATTGCCTATAACTGCTGCTGGGATCACTGCCATGCCTGCTTCAGCTCCAGCCCGGACTTGGCGGATCACATTCGCTCCATCCACGTGGATGGGCAGCGAGGAGGGGTTGGTGTTACCTTTGGGTCTTCCTTCTTTCTTATTTGCCAATATTTTGTGCCAAAATTTTGTGTTTCAAAATTCCTTTTTTCTAGCTAAGTGGCAGAAAAGTTACTAGCCTAACTGTAAGAATGTAGTCAGTTCTTTTCAATAAATTATTTGAGACTTCCAGGGTTTTGGTAGAGTGTTGACTTCTCAATATCCTGAAGCTGATGTGTCTTGAAGTGCTTACACTTGGTATTCATTGAGACTTCCAGGGTTTTGGTAGAGTGTTGACTTCTCAATATCCTGAAGCTGCTGATGTGTCTTGAAATGCTTACACTTGGTTTTCTTAAAACTCTTAGTGTACGTGTTCCTGCTTGTGATCTCAGGTGCAGTCACATCTTAATTACTGTTACCAAAGGAGTCTCACTACAGGTGAAATCTGTCCAGAATGTACAGTAGGGAAGATGTAAGACTGACTCAAGAGTACAAAATCTTTACAAAAGAGCTCTGTGTGCAATACTGATGGCAAGTTGGCCTCTTCTATATAATTGCATCTAGTTTTTTTTTTTAAATTGAGTTGCGTATATAAACATGTAAATTCTGGTCTAATCCCTGGTCAAATGATAATTGGTCTCAATTTTAATGTTTAAAAACATCTTCTAGTAGAGTAATTTCAACTTTGTACTTAACTACCTCCCATCTTCAAGCTCCCAAATTACCTCTGATGTCTGGAATATATCACGTAAACTACCTTTACATCCAGCACAAGCAATCTGCCTGCTTTAGGCACTTTGTGTTGCTGCTCTTCCATTTCTGGGAGAGATAATATCAGTTCTCGAAGTAGAATAGTTGTTATCATTTGACTTTTTGCCTTGTCAGTTCTTCAGAAGGAAAATGTTAGGCTGTTGCACTTTATCTTCAGTGAATAAGAAACTTAAATAAAATGCTAATTTGCATTCCTTTAAATAATTTATTATGTAAATATGCCACTGAGACAGCTGTGACTCTGGCTGTATTTTGATAATATTTTTTGCCGTGATTGAACTTTTCAGCTTTGTATTTGATGGCTTTTTTCAGTCCAGTATCTGAGCAGAATCATCCATCCGGTGTAGTGGCTTTTTAGCTACCCGTGAGATGATTTCTGAGTTCTGGCCACAGGTGTATAAAGGTGTTACATGAAACCTGCATGAAACAATGAAATGAATAAGGTGTGTTTGGGTCTTTGCTAGAGCATCCATGACTCCTTTACATTTCTTAAAAAGGGGCTGGAAGATTTTGCAGATTTTGGGTATTTTTTTCCCTACGTTTTTTTTTCTTGTCACTTACATTTCATGTGACATACTCATGAATATTTTTATTTAGAAAATATTGGACTGTATTTGTATATTTGAAAGAGGAGGTTGTTGGAAGGACCAAGTGTCTAATAACTGTTGCATTGAGTTCACACTGTTGAATGCCTCTACTGGAGTTTATTTTTTGGGAAGTTCCAAGGCAGTGCTGTGGAAGGGGGATATATCCTGGTGGGTTTGTTTCAGGGATTTGTCTGCCACCTGCCGGTGAGGTGTTCAAGTCTGTTGGAAATTGTCTCGTGCTTTTGATGGGATTTCAGACCTTTCTTAACTGCAATGGCTCTAAAGTTAAAGAAAAGTGGAGCTTAAGTAATTGCTTATTGGGAATGGAAAAGAATAGGTTAAACATCTTTGCATGGTAAAATGTACTTTCCCCAGCTAATGCTGAGGTCATGGCTCCAGTCCAAACCAGATACATCCATGAAGAGCCTGGGAAACTTTTTGACAAAACAGTTTTGCTTTTGAAAGATGTTATTTCAGAAATATTTTGGGTTCAGCTTTTTGACAGGGGTTCCCAAGAAGCCTTGTGTAGACTTCTGGCATGTGGTTGCAAACCCAGGTCCTTGTATTTCCCCTGACTGTAAGTTCCCAGTAACACCTTTGCCAAGTGCCTGCAGTTGCTGCTGGAAATGCCAGCACACTTATGGAGCTGCTGCAGAGCCAGAAATCTCATAAATTCCAGATCTGTGGCTTTGAGGGGATCTCAAAACTGAGGAGTGACAGACCCCAAAGGTTTAGGGGCTTGAGCCTTGTGTCAGTGGGTCTGGATCAGTCCCAGACATTGAGGGGTTTCCAGCTTTGTCTGAGAAAAGCTGGGTTATGGATCTATTGTACAGCAAGAACATAGAACTCCCGTGGCTGCTTTTTCAGTTTGAAAATAAAATCTTTTGAAGGTTGAGGGGGTTTTATTGTCCAAAAGAGAACAAGAAACTGAAATCCAATTAGTTTCCTGCATTTCTGAAAACCTGTGTTATGAACAGTGCTGTTCCTGGGAACTTTCTTTTGCTGTGACAAATTAGGGCTTTACCTCCCTTCACCCACAGACCTGTTGAGGAAATTCTAATGAAAAGCAAGTTCATTGAGCTTTTTATTCCCTCAGTTACAGATAAACACAATGAGAGGAGAGAGAAAAGCAGCATGAGTGAGTTCTGCTCCCCTTAATGCACTATTGTGCATGTGATTGTTCTGTACACTGGAATCACAAAACACCCATAGATTTTGAATCCTATGAGAATTGGTAGCTTCCTTCATCAGGAATTGAATGTAAGGCCCTAACTAGAAGTATCTGGTATTCCAGAATACAACACCAGTACATAGACTGCATTGCAATTAAGAGTTTTTACTTTTTCGTGCTCAAGGAATAAATTAATTGGTAATGAGAGCAAATAATTTTATTTCTATAACTACTACCCAGAAAATGCAAATTTTTCATTAAAAAATGTTCTGACTCCACATCTGTTGGATACAGATACTGAGTGCAAACACAAATGCAGCAGACCCTGTTGCTCTTGATTGTGTTTATCTGCAGCAGCATCTGTCTCTTAGTATTTTCTTCCAGTGACCTGTTCTTATTGAATACTTGGGGTTGTAATTATTTTCTCCTTGGTGAGATATGAGAAGTGTGTTTCAAAATAAATGGTTATTGTTCAGAATTCTTTGAAGTGTTGTGAGATGTTGTAAAAACAACCTTCTTTGCTAATGTGCTTTTTATTTACTGTTCTCTCTGACTTGTGTAAACTTACCACGTTTTTACTCTATTAGGTGTTTGTTTGCTTGTGGAAAGGTTGCAAAGTATATAATACACCTTCAACAAGTCAAAGTTGGTTGCAGAGGCATATGCTGACACACAGTGGGGACAAACCTTTCAAGGTAAGGCTCATTGTGACATACATTGTCTCTCATTTTTAGAAAAATTCTCTTTATTTTTCCTAATACACTATGTCAGTTGAAAAATACCATCACTGGAGTGAGCTGAAGAAAAGGGAGCTGAGCTTTCTTCTTTGCAGTAATAGTGCCCAAAGGTCTTGTTCTTTTACAAAAGCAGGTGAAGAAACTCTTAGTGCTTCTCTATCCCTGTTTCTTTTAATCTATAAATGGCAGGGAGTGTAAAAGTAAATAGTGCTAAAGTTCAGGGAGTTTGTGCATTTTGAGGTTGAACTGCTTACACTGTAACAGTGAGATATTTTCTCTCATACTTTACACTTCCACACTGAATTTTGGATCATGGCTGATGGTGCACATTCCTGCTTGAGTAAGAACTGCTTTTGTTAAATTCAGTAGAAACACTGGCATTGAGTATTTATGGTTCATTCTCTGAACAGAGTAAGGAAATCAGGAATGCAGGACCATTGACCTGGGTGTATTTCCTGCACAGTATTTTCTAACTTTCTCTTTCTTTCTCCCCTTAATCTGTACCTGCAATTCTAGGTATAGTAGTGTTTATCATTCCCATATCCACCAATCCGTTATTAATGAGTTGCTTCATCCTCTTATGGATACAGTTGGGGCAGTTCATAGCTGTCAGTCCTGGATCACTTGATGGTAAGTCCCACCCACGCTACTTCAGACTGAAGTTCTTCCATGTAGGATATGAAAATGAAGTAGGATTTGGGGTTTTTTTTTGAGTTTAGGTAGCAATTTATGCCTCCTTCTCTTGCACCCCTAACCTCACCAAGTTTTAGTCCCTGTCTTCCCTCTCTTCTCTTTCTCTTCAGGTAATATCTTCCACTTTTATAAAAACTTATTTTAAGGCAGCTTTATTACTAAAAATATTTTTCTGTTACAGGGGTTTCTTTCTGTAGTTATATTTTCTATATAGGTTTTAATAATAGTTATGACAGAAAACAAAACTAAATTAAACTCAAAACCAAGAAAGTAAAAATAGTGCATTGCATGTCAAAAATTTTTTTTACCAAACCGATTTTTTCCATACTGAACTGTGTAGTTTAGACTGAAAATTTCTGACTCAAAGTAACCACAGGAAAATGAGTTTTAAGATTATCATACCCTGTGTTTGAAGGAATAAATGTAGCATGCTCTTGGAAGGATAGCATAAGCATCATAGATCCCTGCAAGTTTGCAGATATGGTTGTTCCAGGAACTGACCTAATCTTAAATCATAATCTCTGATTATTACTATTATTATTATTAATAATAATAGTGGTAGTAGTAGCAGTATTAAAGAAAGCAACCACCAGTTACCAGAGGAAACTTGTACCTTAGGTTTTCTCTATTTTGGAATGAAATATTTTGTCTACCTCAGAGTATAATGGCAAGCTTTGTTCTTGGATGAAAGTCTTTTAATAGCTTAAACTGTGTTCTTATTTGGTTTAGATCAAAGAAACTCTATTGTAGAGACATTGGGTTGAAGAGGTGGGCATAGCTCAGAAATAGCGAGTCTGTCAGCCTTACCTAGCAAAGGCAGTTGGTTCCTGAGTTTTTTTGGCTAGGCTGGTTACAGCTAGAGCCCTAAAACTGTCACCAGTTGTTTCTGATAATAATCATCTTGTGTTCAATATCTGCTGTTTCACTAGCTGATTTTCTGTACTTCCTGCTCCTACTGAGGGAGAGAACAAAGCACTCAAGGGTTGCAGTAGTTAATCATCCTGGCTCAATGTGTGTCACTGCAGCATTTTTTCATACTGTTGTCTCGAGTCCCTCTGTTTGTTTTTTATCCCTGTATTTCTCAATCTGTTCCTGGGAGCTTTGAATGGAGGATAATTGTGGTCTGAGTAGAATTTTGTAACATCTTTTGTTCCCCTGTCATTTATGCTGAAATAAGCTTCAGGGCTCACATGAGGTAGCCAAGTATGTGAGTGTCTGTAATGGCAATCTATTAATTAACTGGCTCCTTTCCTTCATTTGCTGCTTCTTTTTTTTTTAATGCTAACTTTAGAAATCTACTCTCTGAGACAAAAAAACACTTGAAGTGTTGGATATTAGTCTTGACCAGTCCAAGAACAGCCTTTTATTAATTGTTTTGTGGCAGCCAGTCAAAAATGGAGCCAATGTGTCCATTTTGTGCATTTAGCTTGTCTCATAAATCTTAATTGCTCACCTTTCAGGGAAAGCCAGATTTTTTTGAGTCAGAGTTAGTTTAAAGACCTGTTCTTTATAATTACTGCAGACAAAATATCTCCCAAAACCTAAATTGCAAATGAAACTTCAGATGCCTCATGAGAATATACTTTAATCGTAACATAAAAGGATGGAATCTGTCATTTTAGAAAACTTGCAGAAAGTAATCATTCAGTGTTTTAGTTAAAAAATAATGTTGGGATTTTTGAGGAAAGCTGTAAGAAGTGGTAATGGAAATAGTACAGCTCTATGCTGTTGTCTAAAGCACTGCTATTTAGAATGTTTAAAAGAAAAATAAAGAATCTGAGCTAGGAAAATAACAAAAGTGTGGAAATATTACTTTTTGAAAGGTAAATCAAACAGTGACCAGAATATATTCTTACATTTCTAGTGAAAAGAAGAGAGAAATGTAGTTTCTTAAATTGAGAAGCACTGGGGACTGTCTCAAACATAACTTTTGCATAGAAGGATATATCCCCTATATCTGTCTCCCCTTTTGCTTGCAAATGGGCTCATTTTGTGTAGTTGCACATTTTGGGTTTAATTATCTCTTTTTGTGATACACATGGAGTTGTCCTTTGACTAAAAGCTCCATTCAGCTCTAAATGAACTGTTCTGCTTTGCTACTGAAAGGTCTTTGTGGGTTTTACCTGCCCTTTCCATTCATTCCTGTCAACCATGTGACTGTGCAGTTCATTTGTCACAGAAATGAACCCACTTCTAAATTGCAAAGGCAAAATGGTTCATATTTTCATAAATTTATCCTTTTTTCCTCCTGGTTGTGTGGGTTAGTGTGTCCCTCTCATCATGAATATTGCAGTACCTGTGTCACAGAAAAGGGAAATTTCCTTATGGATACCTGTTTTTGAGACTGTTATGCTAGCTCCTTTTTTTTGTGGGGCAATATCTTGGTAGTGTACATCCAGCTCCTCTCTGAGTCATTTCCTCACAGTCTGATTTTAGCCAGTCCTTTTCATATTTTTTTGCCATTGTAGACATTCATTGAGTATAGGTATTCTCTCCAAAGACATTTAGTATGCTCATCTTGGTGTATGATTTTACAGAGTTGAGAGAGTAAACCCTGACAACATTACTCTTTTTTAGATCTCTTACTGCACAATTTTGCAGGTTCTTAGAAACCAGTGGAATATTGTGGATTATCAGCAGCATGCAGGGCTGGTCCTGTTGAGGGTTCAGCAACTTGGCTCTCAGACCTTATAGAAAGGATGTAAAGGAATAATCTGCTGAGTCAGAAAACATCCTGGTTTCAACAAGCTGCCCTTGGCAAGTTGAAAAGAAGTGAATATTAAGATATTCCATCTTCCTTGTCCTAAACTTAGCTGTTATAAGTAATAAGTATTGGAATAGTTAAAAGAGTTGTGACAACCTGCGTTTTCCAGCATGGTTTCTGGTGTAGGGGCAAAATTAAATTAATCAAGTATTACTTGGCACTGAAGGTTCCTTGAGGACACATCAAATGAGCTCTTAGATGTTGAGCACAGTGAAAGGGCAGATGGTAGATGAGCACAAAATAGTGGGAGATTTTATACAAAATAACGGCATAAAATAAAAATAATAAAGTAATAATAATTTCATATAGCATTAGGATTGGGGCTGATGGTCTCAAAGGTCTCTTCCAACCTAAATGAATCTGTAAGGATGCATGTGGGAGTGCTAGCAGCTGCTTCCACCCATGGGTTCCTGTGGATATGCTCTTCATGTTCAAGAGCAGTCATGCAAGGTTTGCTCCTGTGGGGTAAATGTTTCCAGCAACAACAAATGGTAGTGCACAGCTTCATTGCAGGCTTCTCCTTAAAATGGGGGAAGAAAGTAGGATTAAAAATGAAGTTTGGTGCTCCCTGTAATTTCCAGAATTCATGAAAGAGTGATTGCATTTGGTACAGCCCTCAGTAGAGTCATGCTTGGTGAAATGTAGAGAACACAGGTGAGCAGCTCCAGTCTTTATTGGCAATTCATGTCAGTTACTCTCTTGGCAGAATAGTTTTTGTCCATTAGAGCAGTGCAGATAAAAAATGTAAAGGCACTCTGCCCAAACACTCAGATGTTGAGACAATAAGAAAGTTTATTCAGATGTCTAAGCTATTTCTGTTAGATTTACTAGAAAAAATTACATGTCGAATAACCCAAATAGGTAATTTTGAATTTAGAACAAAAACCTGCATTGCTGGGTACTTTTATATCCTGTTTGTTAAATTCACTGGTCATTTCTGCCCATTAATAATGGTGGGTATGGGTACACTGGAGAAATTAAACTTCTTACATGTTTACTTACTTTCTCTTGAAGTAACATATCCACCAATCCGGACCCAATCTGTATTTCAAATTTAAAGCAAAATTTTGAGATTTAGGTTTTGGGGGAAAAATGACAAGATTGGTTCAAAGTTGTACATAATAGTTGAGTTTGATTTATTAGAAGCCCTCTAGAGCTATATAATTATCTGGTGGGAAGCTGATTTGGTGTGACTTACCGTCCAGAGATCCTGAAGTGACAGCCTGAACTGCTCCCTTATCTTTGGAGAGAAGAGACTTTACCCATTAGTAACGGATTGCTGGATATATTATTTTAGAGAAAAAAAAGAACAAACAGGTAAGATTTTTTCATTCTCCTCTTCTACTATTTCTTATCTACTGCAAAGGCATTCTCTGTCATCTTTGATCTATCAGCTGTTGATTATTTGAAGACATGATCAGGTAGTCTCAAAGTACACAAAATAGAAATGTAATAATTTCTACAAGTATTTTGTACTGTGGCTGTAGACTATTAATACAATTTCTGGAAAAGTACAATTTCTGTTTGCAAGTAGCAGATATTGAGGAACTAAAGATTGGTTTGGGGATTTTGAAAGTAAAACTTGGGTAGAGCAAGAAAAGTTAGGTATAGCTTCTGTAGATAATCCATACAGAATATTTGGGATTGTTTGCTCTGTACATGACAAAAAAAAAAAAAAAGTTATGACATCGTGAGTCAAGCTGCAGTTTGTCATAAAACAATGTTTCCCATCTGACAAGAAGTACAGTTATGGTTTGAAAACTTTTAGAAAAGTGCCTGACACATAGTTTGCATTGTAGACTTACCTAAAAAAAAAAAAAAAAAAAAAATTACGACATCATGAGTCAAGCTGCGGTTTGTCATAAAACAATGTTTCCCATCTGACAAGAAGTACAGTTATGGTTTGAAAACTTTTAGAAAAGTGCCTGACACATAGTTTGCATTGTAGACTTACCTGTTGATTGTGAATAAATAATCTTTCATAAAAACAAGTGGTTTGGGTTTAAGGTCAGGTTGAGAGGTTTAGCAATCTAATTTGGTGGATGCTGGCCCACAGCAGGTGGCTTGGAACTGAATGACTTTTAAAGGACCCTTCCAACCCAAATCACCTTGTGATTCTGTAAGTGTAAATGTTAATGGTCAGTATGAATTTAAAGTAAGGAAAATTGTGTTGGAGTTACCATAGTGTAAGATCAGCATCCAGAGTGTGTTGGCACTCACAGGTGTGCTGGGATTGCTTCCACTGCAAGTCACTATAACTAGAGATTATTGCTGTTGTTTGAACATGGGAAATCTTAAGGCAAGGTAAAAAGGCATAGGGAGGATTTTGGAAGAAATCTTCACAATTCTTAAGATGCTTATTAGTGGGGGAGAGAGGGAGGAACAAATACAATTCCTCAAGTTTTTTGTCAGGGAATTTTACATTTGAGTTAGTTCATTTCTTAGGGAACTTTCTCTAACTCCCTCTAGGAATTCTTCCCTTTAAAAAAAACCACAACAAACACACAAAAAAAAAAAAGTTAAAAAGCATCCATTCATTTTTTGCCTTTTACTGTCTTGAAATCTGTGTACCTATTTTTAGTTCTATAGCAAGTATTAAGCCCAGCTTTGTCTCTGTGGACATGGTATTTTACTACTGATCATGGATCAATATTGCTAAGTCTGAGGCAGAAATAAACTTCTCAGTTCTGCAACCATTGTTGAAAACAGCACAGTTGGGATTTAGGGGCAAAAAGTGGGACATGTGGAGTTCTAAAGCTATTTTCTTGTCTTCCAATCAAGAAGAAACATCAGTCATATGGATACACAACTAACTGCAGTGATGAAATGCATATTCTAAAATTATTTTTCTATTACCCATATATTGTGTTCAGAGCACAATATAAAAGGGGTGTGCTTCCCTCTCCAATGGTATAATTTAAATTATTTCTTTTCCAAATGAAATAATTGTAAATATGAATCAGATACTTATAAAAGTACCAGTAATTGTAGCCAGTACAAACCTAGTTGCTGCTGTCATTATTTGTATGTCTCTGCTTGATTATTGTTGGATGTTATTTTTCTGTTGGGAGAGGACATTTCCTTTAAATGGGAACTGCCTTAAATGCTCCTGAAGTAATAGCAGCATCCCAGAATGAATGTATAAATTATTGTTACTACAACTTTACTGAAATTAGTTTTAGACAGAGCTGTGAGGCAGCTGTTCATTGGCTTTTTATAGCGTTTACACAGAGTGTTAAGCTGTTTGAAATTTCTTGTGGGTAAGGACGTATTTGTTACTTCTGCCTTGTCACAAGAAAGGAGGATGTTAGAGGATGTTACTGTTACCAGATGGAGAGCATTGGAGAGGTGTTGAAACAGTAACAGTATTTTGAAAGGCACGGGAATGTTGATCTATGAAGAGGGAAGTTTGCCATTGCATTGTTTGAGATTTTTATGCTACACAATATAAAATATAGTATGGCATAAAAATATTGTCTCATGAAATAATTATTGGGAGTTTAAAAACTTCAAACAAATGTATTTCAGAATATGTTTTTGGTTTTAAGAATTGCATGGTCATTAAGAATTTGGTTTTGCTTTAGCATGTTGGAAGTTGAGGCAGAAAAGTCACAGCAAGGTGTCTGAAGCTCCTGTGCCACACAGGCACTGATGCAGTTGTTCTCTTTTTTCTCACTAGTGTGTAGTTGGTGGGTGCAATGCCAGCTTTGCATCTCAGGGAGGACTTGCCCGTCACGTGCCCACACACTTCAGCCAGCAGAACTCTTCAAAAGTTGCCAGCCAGCCAAAGGCCAAAGAGGAATCTCCATCTAAAGCTGGAATGAATAAAAGAAGAAAATTGAAGAACAAGAGACGACGATCACTACGTAAGTGTTTCGCAGGAGTTCTTGAAAGGTTTGTCTTGGAGTGAAAGTTCCTCCTCCCTCTGGTGGTTTCTCTGCATATTTGAATCTGGTAGGGTTGGCATTCCTTGTCACGGGAAGAAAACAATTCCAGATTCTGTTTGTGTTCCTTTTCAGGGTAAATCTCTGCGTGTCAAGGAAAAAAGATCAGTTTCCTGTGAGCAACAATTGGAATTGCCAATTGAAAGAAGCTTTTCATTTCAGAGTTGCTTTTTGTTTACTGACTGTTACTGTTGGAAGGGGTTCTGTTTAATGCTAATGAGATCTGAAGTTCAGACAGAGATTGTAGATTCATATAAATTAGAGATAAATGCATGTTATATAAGCTCTTTTTTGAGCACAACGTTTCATTATGCTAATGACAGTTTTATGAGCATAACCAAGATCTAATTTTGGGCAGAATTGACTTGCTGTGTTTTTTTAATCTGTCTCCATATAGTTGATGTTCATTAATTTTATATGAACCAATGTGCTGAGAGGTGTGATTTGTCATTTAAAGTGAGAACTGTTTCCTCTAGCAAGAAATCATCACTTACCCAGTACCTTTTCCAGTCCATTTGGATCTGGTAGTTTGATTCCTGAGTTGTCCTGGCATTAGACTAACAAAACATCAAATGTCTATAGAGATTCTAATCTACAGAAATAGTTAGATGTAGTGAGAGAGACATCTTGAGATAATTGCAGGTTCCTAAAGGATCATTGTGATTTGTCTACTGTGTTACTCAAATATATAAATGTCTGAGAGTGGTCACTTGAAAATTCTCGTGTTCAGAAGTTCCTGAGTTGAATTTTAGCTTGCTTCTCCATACTGATTTTATTAGGTGGCTGATTTAATGCATCTTAATTAAGTTTCACCCCCTATATATGCAGAAGTAGTTTTTCAGGTTGGCATTTTATTAGTAATTGATAAACATCATATTATATTATTTGACTTACAAATTTCAAATCAGAGCTTCATAATTAAAACTTCAAAACACCTGTTAATATGCTTTAGTTGTAATAAGAATTTGCTGCAGAAGTTATGAATGAATTGATGGCAAAAAATGGAAATAATAAATATTGTGGGAATGTTAAAGACCAGACTGCAGTATTTGAATGGTCTGCTGTCTTGATCAAGTATTGCACAGGAAGAAAAATGACAGCTGCTTGAGCAATTTCTTATCTTCTTGCCTCTTGAGACAAATGCAGTGCTGGCTGTAGACTTTTGCCTTAAGGCAGAAATCATCTCTAACTGAATTGGGAACTGACTACTGTAATGTATTTCTCCAGAGGGTATGTGACCCAGAAATGTATCCAAAGTTGATGGCATTTTCTGAAAATGCTGAGTATTGGCAGCTTTCCTTTCAAACTTTGGGTGGAGTATTGTTGGTGAAGTGAACGTGACGAAGGGCTGATACAGTCTTGCTTGTATTTCTGTTTCTTAGTTTGGTTTTAGTTAGAGAATGAAGTGTGCAACTTTGTGTGTTTTGTCTTTACAAGAAGAATGGGGGAAGGCAAAACCCTTATCTAAGAAGCCAAAATAACACAATTAACGTAATTAAGTATTTTCAGTTTGGAGTATATAAAGCTAAATACCTAAGAAGGATTTATATTTAGATATTTGTAAGTACCCAAAAGGCGAGATGTGTAACACATGTAACCAGGTTCTCTGCAAGTTCTCTTTTCTTGCAAGGACTAAATGATACGGATGTAAAACAAAATGCCATTTAATAGTGGACAATCTGTTTAAATAACCTGCAGATAATAATTTGACAAAAGCTGGCAGCTTTTCAGCACAAAACAATTTGTCTCTAAAAAAAAATGTCAGTATGTTCTTTCTGCTTCATGGTATTATTAGACCCTGGCTTTTTTTAAAGGTGTAAGTGGGTTATTAAATATTGGCCAATATACACTGTTACTGAAGCACTCTCATGTATAAATTCTTAACAGTTTAAGTACAGCTAATTTATGCATTTGCTTCCTCTTTTCATATCTGAAGGTAACACCTTTTTGTGAGAGAATGCATAATGAAAAAGGAGATGTTACTGCAGCTATATGTGATGAGACTACAATCTTCTGATACTTTTTAAAGATAATTTCTACTGTTACTTAATTGCTTTTTTTAAGATCTTGCCATTTTAAAGTGTTTTACTTTTCTGTCCTGTCTTATGTTTTTTATGTTCTTCTAAGTCTGAAAATCAGCCTTTTCTCATAAAGCTCGTTTTACTGGTGACACCCTTTTAACTTTCACATTCATGGTGCTGTAGAGATCTTATTTGTCTTAGCAGTTTTGATGTAGAATAATTCAGAATTAGAATCTGTAGCTTGCTTTCTCTTCTGGGTGGTCTTTTACATGTTCCCTCATTCATCCAGAGTGGCTTTTAGAACCAAATCTATTGAAAGTGTGTACCTCTAAAACAGTATTGCTGTTCTGAAGCTGCCTTGACTACAATATTGTCACTTGCTTTTTCATTGCAAAGATGACACTTTAGTTATTAACAAGCATGATAATCAAGTTCACAGGAGACATATAAGAGGGATAAGGAAGCTTACTGTCCATGAAATTTGCTGTAAGACTCTGTTACTTATGGAGGGCTTGGATTTTCATTTGGTGGGTTACTGATGTGATGATGTAATTTATTTGACTTAAGGAACTGCTGAATACTTGGAATTTGCATTATTAAGCATGAAGGAAGATACTTAAATCCATTTCCTCAAAATCATGTTGGGGTGAAGGTGCCTAGAAAATAGTAACACTTAAGAGTAATTTAAACAATTCATACACTTTTGAAAAATTGTGCCTGTTCTTCTCAGTCTGCTGAATGTTTTCTGCTGTAAATCCTGGAGAAATTTGTTGCATAAACCTGAGAGCAAAAATTTGTTGATTTTTCCCCCCCTTCTTTCCATCCTCCCTCCTTTCTTCCCTCAGATTTATTTATCAAATATTTATATGCTTGCATTACTGAGCACGTGCAGCACGAGCTGTGGTCCTACATTGGCACTTAGAGTGAGAGCACATTGCAGTGAGATGATTGCCTAATTGGCAGTGTCCAGCTGAGAAGGAGCAGGGGCAGGACAGGATGTACAGATGAGTGCTTACCAACATCAGCCCCAGGAGTGCAGCAAGTGCTAGCTCCAAGTGGGATTGGTACTTCATTTTGAAATAATGGATACAGGAGTATAGAAGCTGTTTTAAGTGAAGACAGCAAAAATAATAGCAATTATTTTGTAGTTTAAGTACTTTTAGTATAGAATTGATGGACTTTATTTTACACCCTAAATCAAAATGCAGTAATCTTTCTACAGTTCAAGAAACATTTACCTATAAAAATCCTTTCCTAAAGGAAAAGGTTCTTATAATGCCTGCTGCTTTTATAATGGTTGTAAAATCTCAGATGGGTGTTGTACTTTATTCAATATAAATTGAAGGTTAATATGTGACCCATGCAGCTTGTGCTTCTTAGGCAGAAAGTGTTTACTAATAGTCCAAGAACATGGAATGACAACTTGTACAGAGAAAGAAATGTGTAATAGTGTGGAGTTTTTCACCTGACTATTCAGCATTATTGAAACTCAAATGAGTGGATGTGGTTGCATTTTTGGAAATAGCTGTTTCATTCACAGGGAGTGTGTTTTGAGCAAACTTGAATTGTGCTTCTCTAGGAATAATTTCTCCCTCACAGTAAAAATGATGTTTGCAGTTCTCTGACAAGGTATTGCTGCTGACAGAAGGATAGATGATTTACTAATGACACTTCAGACCTATTTACATGCTTGAATGTGTTTGAATGCTTTCAGTGTGTTGAACACTAAGGATCTCTTATTGTTTTTTCCAGCAAGACCTCATGACTTCTTTGATGCACAAACACTGGATGCTATAAGACATCGAGCCATCTGTTTTAACCTCTCAGCACATATAGAAAGTTTAGGAAAAGGCCACAGTGTTGTATTTCATAGTACTGTAAGTATATATATGATGAATTCTGTTTGTTTACCTGTGTGTCTAAAAAATCCAATCTGTAAGAAATATATCTTTTAGTTCATCTGTGCATGTGTCACTCGAGATGGTGGGAGGTTGATTAGATCTGGAATTGCTTAGACCTCAGTTGTGGGAGAGCTGCTCTGGGGTTCCAGCCCCCTGCTGCTCTATTTTGGGGTGCTGGTTTGTGTTGGACATCAGCTTTGTTGATGAGACTTAGCCTAAAATCAGCTTTAAAAAGAAAAGATAGGCAAGAGGCTGTTGTGTGGACTGTTACACTGAGCTAACCTCAGGTACAAACACTTACTCGTTTTGCATCTCTTAAAGGCATTAGGATATGAGATTTGAAAGGTGACTGGCTAAATGGCATAATAAGTTTGTGTGGTCCACCTTCAGATGAAGAAAAAATGTGTAATTAACAGAGACATTAATTTGGAAGGTGGAAAATAGGAAGGTGAAATTGCCATGCTGTCTGAAAACAGACAAAAATGATGTGGCTTTATTGTTTTACTCAGCATAAGAATAATGTCAGCACAATGCAGTATATTTCAGGGCAGATATTCTAGTATAAAGAATTTCTGAGCTGTGGTACCTTTCATATTCTCTGAGAAGGCACATCCTTTCATTTACATGTACTTCTTTAACACAACCTTTTCTTTGTAGATATGGGGAGATTTAGAATGCAGTTATTAATAAAACCTTTTTGAAAAAATGGGCTTGCAACCCAATACACCTTTGACTTGATTGTGGTTTTTTTAATGCTTGCTTTTTTTTATTGAGTCAAATTCTTTGTATCGTAATTCTCTGAATTAATTAATTAAATATCTACTTAATCTAATTAAGTAGACATGCCAAGCATGTCTACTTAAACTGAGGAACGGATATTACACTGATTAAAAAATGTAACTTAGAGGTTGCCCTGTCATGCCACCCCCAATCTTTGAAGTGGTTTGAATTAATTCTCTGAAACATTTGAACACTAAACTGTTCGCTGGTTTTAGCTTTTTTTAGGTATTTCGGTTCAGTGGCCACATGTATTTTAACTAGTTACATAGTTTCAATAATTGAAACCTTGTAAGCAGTAAATGAATCCAGTGACACGCCTAGCAACTTACAGTGTGAAATTGTTTTCTTTTTCCAGAAGAGGTCAGCAAAACTCCATGTCTGATTTGAGACCACTTTGATGCATGTTTGCTTGCAATTTCCATTTTGTTTCTGGGCAGTGCAGGAAATGTAGAGAGTGTAGTAAGAATATTTCCAAATAAAGCTGTATTAAGTGGACATCTGCTGGCTGAATTGTGGTTTTCATTTAAAAACCTAAATGGATTTAAGTTCTTTGCAAAACAATTTTAAGTCTTCAGAGCTTATTTATTGCAGACACACAGCTTTCAAGGAGTATAACAGTTTGCTTTCTATGAATGTCTAGTAGGACATGAAGAATAACAACTTCTGAGAAAAAAATCTGTAACTTGGTTTTAACTATGATTTTGTAATTATTATAGGTAATAGCTAAAAGAAAAGAAGATTCTGGCAAAATAAAACTCTTGCTTCATTGGACACCAGAGGACATGTGAGTATATTGCTAGTGATGCATTTTAAATGGGGGAGGATTTACAGTGGGATCAATGAACTGTTACTAAATTATTTTGTGCCTGTGAATATTTGAGTTAAAGTTAATATTTTAAAAACATTTTTCGGAAAGTAAGAAGTTTAGCAATTATTAAGCAATGGGTTTACTGATTTTTACTTTCACTTTCAAGTCTTTGGGCTCTAATACCAGTTCAGTTAAATTTGTATCTCTATTTTTAATGCATTTTGTCACAAGTTTCAATTCATCATGAGAGACAGAAGCTAAAATATTGTATAAAATAGGCAGGTTTTGATTCCTTTTAGGGCAGATGGTAATATTATATCTAATAGCATTCTGAAATTTTTCTTTTTAAAATGCATACAGATTATGTAATTCTACAGATAAAAACAGTTAATTTTATTTTAAGATAAGTATTAAGAAGTATGCAACACTGGGAACATGAAAAATAAAAGAGTAATTTTTTTTTTTAATGCGGAGTTGAATGATTTTTTGCTCATGCAGGTGAATTCAATATTAGAATCTCTGTATTCAAGAGAGGTTGTTCAGTAAAGTTAAGACATTCCCAAGGGAATTTAGGTTTGGTTGGTCAGGTCAGAAGAAAAATAAGTTTTATATTGCTGTTTGCTGCATCTTGTTTGGGTTAGATAGGTTAGATAGAGTGGGTATTTCAGGCACTGAATAATGTAGTTTTGAATTACTGAGTATTCAGTTCATCCTGATTATTCCATGTAAGCAGAGGAGATGCCAAGGTGCCCTGGCACACACCATCAGTCTGTGTTACTGTCAGGGCACTCACACTTCAGAAAGTGAAATGCTCTCAGGCTGGTTCCTTTCCACTGCCCTGAGCTGCTCATCAGTCTTCCCCATGGAGCTGGGAGTAGTGATTTAGCTTCTGGACTGAGCAGAACTTCAGCTTCTACACTGAATCCTCTTGAGAAACTGCCCAAGTTCTCCAGGGTGTCCATATGCTCAGGGTTTTGGTCAGCAAAAGTAAATACAAGTCTTGAAGTCATTTCCTCTACAAGAGGGAAATAACTTTTAGTGGGCTGGGAGGTTCAGGGTTGTTTTATTTGTTTTGGTTTTTGTTAAGACCAGGATTTTTGGTGCCAATAAATCAGCTTATTGACTTGTTGTCTTTCTGTATATTTCAAATCTCTGCATGTGAAAAATTTTCTTTTTTGCTGTTTGTATCTTGAGCATACAGTTGCTACTGAAAATGTCTTCCCAATGTTGGTTGTCCAAAAACTGATTTTTGGCTTTATTTAAAATACTTTTGTGATGTTTTTCCACCTTTCATGATCCATGAGATTTAGTGAATAAATGGATTGCCTGTTGGGTTCTCCCTCCCCTTCTGCCCTGTTGCTTTAAATTTTTTTGTTCCTTCTTCATCTGAAAGGTTGAATTGGAGAAACTCCTTTTCTTGCTGTGGTAGGGGTTCTGGGTTTCATTTCATGTTTTGAATAGCTTACCCAAAAAAATGAATTTGAGTTGCAGCTAACTTTTCATGCAAAGTGAAATATTTGCAAAATACAGATTCAGTGAAATAATTTGCAAAAGTCTATGGAATTTGGCTTTGCAGAAGAAGAGCCATTCTATTTAGTTTTAAGCAGCTAACTTTTCATGCAAAGTGAAATATTTGCAAATGCAGATTCAGTGAAATAATTTGCAAAAGCCTGTGAAATTTGGCTTTGTAGAGGAAGAGCCATTACATTTAGTTTTAGATGTTGGGCTTCTCAATTTGAAACCTGTTTCAAAGACTTAGACACCTTAATTACGAACTCCTCCCCCAACCTGAAGTTAATCTTTGGCTTCTAGGACATGTAGAAAATTTTTAAAACCCCACCAAAACCCCAAAGAGGATAATCAAACAATTAACTTCAGCAAAGTTGGAGCATTTTGTCTTTGAAACTTTTGAGCTTGGAGCAAGCAAATTAGTGTAACTTAAAGCTCAGTGCCTGCAGTGTATCCTCTCCTTTAATGGAACAGAATTAAGGAATTTCAGCCTAGTAAAATAAATTATTTTCAAAGGTCTGGTTGTTTTTTGTGTTACCTATTTCCACAATAATTGTTGCTGTGGAGAATGTAGTGCCATTGTCATTGTACACTTGGAATATACTTCTGGAATAATGTAAATTGTCTTCAGTGTCTTTTCAAACTGGGAACCTGAAAAATTTCAAAGTATAGTGTCTAAAGATTGGCTGTCTAAAGGATGTCTAATGTCTTTCCTCACTCTGGTGAAGATGCTTTTTAACCAGGGAAATGTGAAATTTGCTTCATGTGTACTAGTTTATCACATAATGTTCTGGTAAGAAAAACAGTTGATCTTTTTTGAATATTTTTATTTTATTTATTTATTCATAGTCTGCCTGATGTGTGGGTAAATGAAAGTGAGCGACATCAGTTAAAAACTAAAGTAGTTCATTTATCAAAACTACCAAAAGATACTGCCTTGCTTCTGGACCCAAACATTTACAGGTAACATCTTCATTTTGCAACTTTCTTTACTTGAATGTAATCTTAAGCCTCACTTAACTTTTTGACGTTGGAAAATCAGGATTGCTAATGTATTATACACCAGATCAAGGAGCCTTGGTACTGTAAACGTCCAGGAGTTAAGTTCTGAGGTCTTAAGTTATTTCAGAATTACTTCTTGAACTAAACTCTAGTGACTGAGAAACGGGGAATGTGTGTATTTACCAAGTGTATTTTACTTTTTTGTGCTTGGTGTACAGAAATTCTAGTAAAGGAGGTACATACAGTGGAATCCTGAAAGATCACTTCTGTTAAGATCACATACTGGTTTGTATACCAATTTTTTTAAAGTCCAAATTTATCTTTCCATATTATATTCAGCTGTAATACATGCAGTATTACCTTGAAACTTGTACTTGTGTTCAAGTACTGTTATTTTTTATTACAAGATTCTTTATAGGGGGACAAAAGGGAACAATCCATGTTACTTGTCTTTAAGCTACTTTCACATTTCTGTTTTTAGGCCCTCAGATTGGCTTCTAATCCATCTGGTTTCTAATAATTTCCTGATTCTCCCCCCACCCCTTTGTTACTGCTGTCCCATGATTGTCAGTACCCACAGTTCTGTGTGTACAGTTTTTAAAGGTAATCTGAAATGCTTAATTCATTCTGAAATTTTGGGCATCCATAGATCCATATGTGATTGTATTAAAAATCCACGAAAATGGCTTTTGGAAAGAAAGTTTATCATAACAGAAGTTCAGTGTTCCGATGTTTCTTCCTTAACATCCAGTAACCAAGAGTCTCAAGGAGTAAATAAACCCTGATCTGAGGTCTTTCAATGCAATAAGCCTTTCAGTTCACCTTTAATACTCAGTGTATTTCACTAATCAAATTAATGAAAACTTGCTTTATTATATGAAAACAAATCCTACTGTATTTGCTATCTTTGTAAATGTGTTTTAAGTACTTAGCTTAGCCTATGAATCATTGCTGTTAATGGTAAAATCATAAAAATGTTATGGTGAGATTGGATTGTGTGTTTTAAAACTGTTTAACACAGTGACTTTTATAATCTAATTGAGGTGTTAATAATTTTATATTGATTACCTTTGCTAAGCTCGATAGATTAGTTTGCTTTGAAAAGAAAAGAATAACCTTTTAAAATAAAAATATAATGATCTCTGGATTAAGCCCCTGGAGAAAAATTAGCAAACCTTTCTATCTCTCCCAAATAAAATTAAGGTCCCCACATGTAATGTTGTACTCTATTTTTAGCAGTATGGATCAGTCTGTGATTCAAATGAGCTTTTGGGACCAGCTGAGGGAGCTTAATGATGTACGTTTTAAAACCAAGTCTTCAGAACCAGACTTTAAAAACCAAAATCTCTTTTCAAGAGGAAAGGGTAGTTAAAGAAATTCAATGGCAGTTATTAATGTCATGCTAAAATCTCATGCTTTAATAGAAAGTCTGAAATAATTATCTGGAATGTGCACTTTTGTGAGATCATCTGAAATGGCTCTTGGTTTTAATCAAATGGAAGTAGATTTGCATAGTCACTATTTCATAGTGCATTCAGCTGACCGATGTATACATCACAGGGTCTTAATATAAAGCTGTACCATCTTCTTTTACAGAACAATGCCCCAGAAGAGGTTGAAGAGGTAAAAACCAAGCAAGTGGGGACACCTGCAGTCTTAGTCACTGACAATGGATTTAGAAATAAAGTTGCACATTAGTCAAATCCCATCTTTTTTTTTTTTCCTTTTTTTTTTCTTTTGGTTTCTTTTGGTTTTTTTTTTTGTTTTTGTTTTTTTTTTTAGAGAAATATTTATGCTTAGTGTAAACATTCTGTGAATGAAGTTGATGCTTCCGTGGAATATATTAATATATTACTGTATATCCACATTTTCATGGAATGGTACAGTGGGAGACTGAGCAAACACTCTTCTGGCAACTTAGTGGAACAACTAAAAGGCTTTGCATGCTTGCTTCTTTAAGCTGCTTTTTTCTTTAGTGAATACAGTAGTCTATATTTGATGAAAAGAAAAAGTAACCATCACCATTTCCTCCCGATTCCCAGGAGAACTGTTACCAAGCTATTGGGCTTCCTGTCAGTGTTAACTAAACCTAACACATGCCAGACAATAGAACAGCTACCAAGGGATTATCCTGTTGCCCCTTGAGTATGGTGGATAGTAATCATTCGTCATTTGTGATCTTGTGTCCTTTTGCAGATCCCTAAAATATGTTGGATTATGGTGTTGAAACAAATGTTGATGGAATGCTTGTCTTTTCCAGTCAGCTCTGAATACATATAGTACGGTGGCAGGATGTTCAGAGTGTTGCAGTCTGTCTGACCCCTTTGCAGGAGTAGTGTAGTGTGTTCATCAGCTCTGCTTTGGTGTGATCCGTATCGATGGACGGGTTTGGGAAACCTCGGTGTAAGCAGTCAGTGTTACTGGTGATTTATTTTGCTTTTTTGACCCTCTAGGATCCCCATTCACTTGTAAAGTATACTTTATTTGGCCTAATGTTTTCTAGATGTAAAGAAAATGGTATTTTTTAAAAAAAATTAATCTAGAAATTCAATCCTTTATGCACCAAAGTTGGCTTTGAAAAGGAAAGTAAAATCATTTTCTTGCTTAATAAGCAAGGAGCCGTGGATTTTTTTTAACTGACAAATAGAGATGCGTCTAACCTGTTAGTCTTTGTATGGAGACAAAAATGTTGCATATAGATAATAGGACATTGCTTGTAAATATTTCAGCAGATTTGTAATATATTTTTATATTATGAAATGTACTGTAGATGTTTTTCTAGAGGCATGAAAGTTAAAATGTATATATTACGGTAGAAATAATATTGAAGGATATTGTAATTCACTAGTGCTGCCAGAAGAATTGTTTAAAAAAAGCACCTTCCTTAACAGTAAAAAAACCTTCTTTTACATACCTAAGGGACTATATACTACTGTTAGTATCTGTTGTAAGAACAAAAATACATTGAACATCCTTCCCAGAAATCTTAGAGGGATGAATAGTACCCATAATTAATTCATGGCACTCCTTTCTAATAGTGAACACAGAATTAGTTTTTTCCTTGCTGTCGGAAGGAACTAATATGTAAAATTTGTATGGATATATGCAGTCAAACTGCAGAGTTAGTCCTCCTTATTGGGGAGGAATTTACTACAGTGAAACTAATAACCAGCAGTTTTTACACTAAATTTTTATTAAATAGAGTAAGACTTAAAGTAACCCTTTGGTTGCAGAAGTGAGCATATCCTAATGTAATACAAATGCGTTCTGCATTGGTACTGACACGAGTCTTGCTTAGCTCCAGTGGGTTAAAAATGTTACTTATATACACAAAAAAATAATCCTATCAACGAGATGAAGTGCAGATTAAAAGCACCACTAATATAAGATGTTCTGGAATGGTTGTTTAATAAGGGTATTATTCATAAAATCTGTAGTGACGTGACTTTATTTTTGGAAGAAATGCAGTGTTTTGGTTTGTTATTTTTTTGCTTGAGCACTTCACCTACTGCTTTTTCTGTACCTATAAAGTAATCCGTAATCTTTGTTTCTTTTTTTTTGAATTTGTTATAAAATTGCCAAATAGAAGTGTTTCAGATATAGTTTGTATTTGTATTTTTTTAATTTTATTGCTTCATGAGTTTCTTGTAAGTCATTTATAATTGACAGATGATTGTAGACCTTGCCTGAGTATTTTTTCTAATAAAACAAAGCAAACAAATCTCATAAGCCTCAAAATTGTGCAATTTCGATGGAGTTTTCAAAAACAATTATAAAAATGGTGCTGTTTCCTCTGTTGTAACTTGTAACACACACCTTTACAGAAGGGGGAATTAATGCATTCAAGTGATGTGGCGTTCATGTAAAATGTGACTTCTCCTGGGTTTGAGAAAACTGTTACCTGGTGTTCTCATGGCAGAGTTTCTGCCTTGGAAGGAAAAATCAGTTTGAATAACAAACATTGTGAAGAAATGGATACACTGGAGTTAATTAAACTTTCCATAATAGTCAAAAGGTAAGTGGACATTTGGCTGGTGTTTACTTGTAGCTATAGAAGTGAGTTGCTAAAACTATTTATGCTTGAAAGCTACTTGCATTCTACAGATTTTGGAATTACTTGGTGGTATTTTGTTTCAAATGCCAGTCTGTTGTCTAAAGCTCTGCTGCAGTTTTTTGTGTGCCCCTGGGTAGATTTCACTTTTGTTGGAATACCAGGTAGGTGGAACTGCCACTGTGTGCTGGGGGGCACTGATCATGTTTTTGTTCTGAAAATAATCTTATTCTTACTCTTGAAAAGCGTTTCTGAAATAATTGGCCTCTCCCCTTTTAAGTAATTCCATGTGCTTTGTTTTGGGATGTTTGGGATGTGACATTTAAAGGTTTCTCCCTGTCTTTCTCAAGAACATTTTTTTCACGTTAGATTTTCCAGACATCTACAGATTGCATTCCCTCCCAGCTTGAGTGTTTATTTTCTTTGCAGAGAAATGTCAGATCCTTGAAAGTCACACTTTTCAGGAGTTGCAGTGCACACAAATATCTGTATTCAAACTCCCATTCTTTTGGAATGTGCTGGCTTGAATTGTACAGTTTTCTAAAATGGAATAATGGGATTTTTGAGTGAGGGATTGTGTTCTGGGCTCAAAGACCAACTCTGCCTTTTGCTTAAGTGCATGGAAATTCTTGTCTGGGAAGACTTGCTGGCATTTGGGCATAGCACAAATTGTTTGATACTAGGTCTTACTCTGTTTGCTAATGCACCTTAATAATCTGTTTATTAAAGACAGAGCAGATGTAAATTGGTATTTTTCTTACACATACTTTGAATATAATTTTCTCAAGTTACTGTAGGTCTTTCAAAATCTTTCAGATTTTGGCCAAAATGTGCAGTAGGTTGCACTATATTTTTCCTCTGTAGTCCATGAAGTAATTGTATAAAATTGGTTTTCTAATTGAATTGCACATTAATTCTGGACCAGCTTCATTTGGAACAAACAGGTGAATTGTGTTCAAACATACATTTTTTTTAATAATTGAAATTCAAGTGGTTGATTTCTGTGCCCTTCAGCTTTTCAGTACTGTGTATGAATTAATTAATGCAGAACACTGGTGTTGTTTAATACTTCAGTTTGAAATTGATGGTTTACTTCCACTTAATGCTTTCCTGCCTTGACATTTTGAATTTGTTGGTGAACCTATTCTAAGTATTCCTCTTGTCATATTAATGTATGACAAGTACAACAGAAAAAAATCCTATAATAGGAAAGTTGGCATTTAAAAAAAAAACCAGCTGAATAGATGGCTTCTTTCAGCCATTGTTTATTCCAAGCAAAGTTCTGGTAAACTTTGTTGAATCAACTTTTATTAAAAATTCTGTGTTATGTTTTGGGGAAGGGGGAGATAAGCACCACCCACACTACTGCTGTGAGCAACACAAACCCTTAAAGTTGTTCAATTTGTAATTTCTGAAATTACTTAAAAATAGGTACCACTTCTGATAAGCAGCAGCTTGCTGTCCTTTCAGGGGTGGTGGCAGGATTTGAATTTGTTATTCACAAGGCTCCTGGTGCTGAGCTGTCCTCACAGAGTGACCCAGCCCAGGAGTCACTGTTGTCTTGGCTGCAGACTTGGTGAGTTTGGTGGCTGTTGGAAGGTTGAGAATTCATGATTCTGTGCTCAGCTCTAGAATGGAAGGAACTGTAGTCTAGAGATTTAAGGCTCATTTTCCCTTCTCTTCCACATACATCCATGCACTCACATCTAACTCTTACCTAGAGAAGAGTTAAAATCGGGATGTGTCTGATGTTGTAACATAACTTAGAGTGGAGTAAGGAAATGTAAAGAGAATAAAATTGTGTTGATTACATACAAAAAGCAGGCTCTTGGTTGTCAGCCAGTTGTTTATCAATTCGGGTCCTGCAGTTGTTTGTGAAGATTAATGTGCTGTGATTGATGCTGCATTATTTGTTTTTCCTAATTCTAAAACTGGCCCTTTGAACTTTTGTAAATCCTCCTCGGTAGTAAAGCAACAAATACTAAGTAATATGATAAATCTGTTTATTTCTTCCCAAATGAGAGATAATTGCTGATAACATCCCCTTGGCTTGGCCTATGTACAGGAGATTGGAGTCCTGTCTGCTGGATGCTGTTCAAAAGAACTGTCAGATTTTAATATCCTTGGTGTTTTGCCTGTGTTCGTAGCCTCAGTGGAGGATGAGAGATCCCCACAATGATTTACTGTGAAGAACTGCCTCTGGTTTGAGACAGTCAGTAGTCCTTCTGACTAATCAAGGGCTACTGTCTGCCTCAAAGGGTCTGGCTTGGAGAAAAGGATCAACTTGGAGACCTTGTGAAATGATGAAAGAATATCCCTGTGGTCAGTTGGGCCAGCTGCCCTGGTTCTGTCGTGGGCACCCCCAGCCCACTCCCTGGCAGGGCAGCGTGAGAAGCTGACAAATTCTTGACTGAGTGTAAGCTCTGCTCAGCAGAAAGTAAAAAATCAGTGTGATACCAGCACATTTGTCATCCTAAATCCAAAACAGCACTGTACCAGCTCCTAGGAAGAAAATGAACTCCATCCCAGCCATAACAAGGTACAGGACTAGAAATTGAATGTCCCATCCACACTCTGAGATCTCCTTTTCCTCAATGTCATTGCTCAGTCATGTTTCTTGCCTTGTTTCATCCATGAAACGTCGTGCCTAAGCTCATGTGGCTCAGTGGGATTTGCCCAGACGTATGGAGTCTGACCAATGCCTCGCTGATTTTAGGAGGACATTGTTATGGATAGTTGACTTGTCTACCTCTGTTCAAATCTGTCTGAAACCCAGATTGTGAAATCAGGGGGAATGGAACACGATGTTGCTCGTGATTCATTTAAGCCAAAATACTCAACATGAGCCACTTAAACGTGTCTAGGCACTGAAATATATGTTTGGATTTACATAATTTCAGGGCCAAAAATTAGTAAATGTATTGTTTTGGGAGCAAAGCCTTGGAATATGAGATTCAAGACTGCTCCTAAGCAATAAAAGCATTTTAAACTTCGAATTTTAAACACTTTGCAGCTTTTATTTCCTAGTGAAAATGAGGCAGGGGCTTGGACCCTGCTTGCATTTTCTTTCTTGTCATAAATATTCTCTCCTAGAGCATGGAAAATAAGTCAATTACACTTAAAATTGTTTATTGCAGAGCAGATGTGTGCATACAGCAACTGTAGCTGAAAGCCCAAGTATTTAATTAGCAGTTGCCTGCAGCTGGATTCTTTCTTTTTAAACAAGTGAGGAGGTAGGAAAGCAGAAAAGGATGTCAGGAGACATTCTGCTGACAGTGAGCAAGTTCATGTGTAATTACTTATTAAAAATTTTCCTCTGCCTCCATCCTCAGAGCCATCATGTGGTGTTGCTGCCTTTTCATTGTGCTGTGCAGCCATCTGTGAATTCCGTGTCCTCACTGCCCAGACACCTGTGCTGCCTCAGTCAAGTAACATTTGATGGGGTTCTGTGGCCTTAAGAAAGATCTGAAGGTTTTCTAACAATCCTGGGCTCATCTGGTAGTTTTGTTGTGGCTGTTCCCTCTGCTGTTGTTGAGAGCTCACCATTGATGTGGAGACTGAAGATTTATGTTATGGTCAGAGCTCAGAGTGGGGACAGACTTTGCTCTTGGACAGAGCTGTGTGGATTTGCTGCTGGAGGTGTCACACAGGCTCTGCAGGTCAAATCCGTGGTGCTGGTAGTTCTGTGTGTAGTTTACATCTCATTGGCTAGTTACAAATAGCTTTTAAAATGGGCAGATGCAGATAAATGTGTGTATGTTGTAAAAATTTCAGAGAGCTGGTTTGTGGATAAAATGTGGCCTCTCTCTTAAAATAAGCTGCATTTTGTTCAGAAGTGAATTGCTGTGGAGGAAAGGTGCAAACAAAAGCTTACCTTGGCTGATGCTTCATCTGGGTAATTACTACAAGCTGTGCAAACTGCTCACAGTAGTTACTGATGTATTTATCTTGGACCCCCTCCCCCCCCTTTCTTTTTTCTTCTTGGCTAAAATATTTGTTAATTTTAATCTTAGAAGGTATTTAATCATTTAATAACTACTGCATGCGTTCCAGTGGGAGCTGATTTCAGCAGTAGAGGATTCAAAGATATGTTAAGCTGGAAGACAGTAAATATCAAGTAAATACTAAGACATTCAGCCACACACTGTGCAGTTTACAGAAAGTACAAATGATGTTCCTGTCCCACCCCACTGTTCTCCCAGGTACTCAGATCCCACACGTCACAGTACATTTCCACTGTGCGTGTTTTAGGATCAAATCTAATTTCACAACACTCTGCAACCAAAAGGTGGCAGCAGCCTACCACACTAAAGTGTGCAGAAATCAATGTATCCCTTGGTGCTGAGACTGCTGAAGGTGTTTGGTTGCTTTTCTACACATGTACAGCTTGGTTTGTTGATACAGGATGCAGTTGTGTGTTAATTAACTACAGCTCTCCTCACTGCTTTTCTCTTGGTCTGTGTCTCTCAGATGCTGCAGAGAAGAGAAATTGTCTTATCTTTTAATAAAACTGACTCCCAAGACTGAAAATTCTTGAAAGCAGTTATGTTATTAGCCAAGTACTGAAAAGATTGAACATTATCACATTTTCTGAAACCTCTCTGGGCCATTATGGTGCTTTGGGCACTTTCTTCTCTTTTCTTTGCCAGTGATGCCCAAGATTACACATTTGACT